TACGTTTGCCTCGGCCTGCCCGCGAAAGCTGACTGATTGATGCGACAGAGAATTCCACTGACCGACGACCGACGCGGAAAATTCCTGTACTTCTCCGGGGAACGATTTCTTTCTTTGTTGTGACTCGCGATTCATCGATGTGCGACACGCCGACGAGACGAACGACGGGCGACGTCGTTGCCCGCTTTATGCGTGACACCTACGAGAACGAGAGTTCCGCGGTCGTGAGAAATGATTTGTTGCACTGTATCATTAGCGATGCGATAACGCGGGACTTTCGAAAGCGAAAAGCTCATTAACCGAGCAGACCATGCGGGAAAGTTGATTCTGATATGCAACGTTTACTTGAAAATAAGATATCCGGTCATCCTGGAACCCCTTCGAACAGGAAGAACGCAGACGTACGATCATCGAGTCAACCGCGGCAGCAGGATGAACAGAGAAAGGATCTCTGGGACGAGAAAGATAAGATAAATTCGTTTCTGGAACATAAACTCTTATGTACGTGCCCAGGCTAATAAAATATTCAATATCTAGCATGAATGTCTTCATATCTTCTGAATAGCTACGTTTTCAACGAAAGAATGATCTTAAGCAACGAGCCGTTAAATGGCCCAACGAATATTTAATCGTCGAACAAAAGTGAATGATAAAGGTGTACGTGTCATTCCGATCGAGCAAATGGACTCATTAAAAATCGTTTCGTTAAGAAAACGTAGAATTCGAAGTGAAATTGTCTTTCATCACGGGTTTCCTTCGAAAATAGAGATAATTGCACTGTCTGGTGTCTAGGAAGTCCGCCATTTTTCTTTCAAGGCCGCCGTTTCAAGCTCCGCCGTCTACTCTCATTACTTTTTTACCGATTTCTAAGACGTCGTCGTTAATCCCGGCACCGTAGAAAGTAGCAAGGATTTATACGCGTTGCTATCAGCTGCGGAGGCCTCGTTTTTTGTTCTTAATATATCGCTAAGCGGTCGTTAGTAACGTGTAACCACAATGGGATCTTTCACTCGGCGGAATTGGCGCGCCGGATGCACGTTCGATCCGGACCTCGTAACGCCGGCATCGAACCTGCGGATACGTAGGTATGCCTGCCTTTAGTTGTAACAGAAATTTGCCACGCCGCGCCGATCGCGTCGCGGACCGCCGTTTAATTACGTCCCATTGTTCCAGTTGGATTTCTCCGCGAATTGTTCCAAACCGCGCGCTCTCTCCTCGAATCGAACCTCGTATCTCGCCGTTATTATACGTAGATATATAAATGTACACTGACGCCGGACGGGAATTTTCTAACTTTCGTGCACAATGATTCGCAAACGATCGTGGAACACGATTTTTATTGTTACACGTTGTTCGCATGTGTTCGATTCTCAGAACGTTTCCTATTATTCAGAATGCAGCCGTTCTTAGCGAAATGAACCTTGATGTGGGAGTTTGATAAAGCTCGAAATTATTTCGATTCATTATTTTTAGTTTTATTTTGGAATTACTTTCACGATCGGATTATAGTGTTACCTTAAAATTATTTATTGCGATTAAGTCCCTGTTTTATGATAACGTGACTGAAGATTTTAGACAGAGATCAATTATACTCGGTTCTTTTGAAGTCGAATGAAATATTTTTCTTCTGTTATTAATTATTACATATTGATCTTATAATTATATAGTAATATTATGGTATCCTGTATGTGTCGAGAATAATGTCATGTATCAATAATGAGAAATAAATGTATCACGAGGGAAGGGGTTAAATACCGAGGAATAATAAATTCTGTTAATTGCCGATCACACAGTTCTCCGCGCAGGGAAATGTGGAGCGTTGTAGTAGGGATAGTCTATAAAACAGGTAACGAAAGTGATTATCCCCAGTTCGCTCCGCGTCTCCGGACCTGGAGGAACTCCGTTCTCTTTCCTCCTGCCTTTCAATTCTTCTGCGCCGAGTGTAACATGAACTACCAGCTTTAATCTCGGCCGTAGCTTCTTCAACTCGAAAAGTATCTTCAAAGTTCGATGTTGAATCCTCCGCTGAGATCTGAAAGGGGATCTTTAAATTTCAGATGAACAAAGCTCTGATGGTAGCATTCCAATAGAACGCCACAGTTACAATTAACCCTATTATTTATAGTTTGAGTTACAAAGAAGACTACTTTAGTTAAAATCATAATCCAGAAAGGTAGCAATTGTTCACCGAAGAATTTGTTAATGCTATTTGAACGAACAGTGAAATTCTGTGTCGGTAAGGTAGTCGACTAGGCCTACGAAAGATCAAGTGCGCATGTCATATATGTACTATCTACTTACCATATGCTGTTACCATTTCGTTCAGTATTTAACCAGCTTTCAATACAGAGGGCGTATTGTTCTCCAAAATGGCGTCCATTCAAAGACTAGCACTATATTCCAAATGAAAAGTATCGTTTATTTTCAAGCAGAATTTATTCTTAACGAGATAAAATGTATTATCGTTAATCCTTCGTCTATGCGAAAATGACAAACATTGAAATTTCCATTAAAGGAGCAATTTGGTATTGCAACAATAGAGTATTTCCTTCTAACTGATTGATACCGGAAGTTCCAGAGCTCGAAGATCAAATCCTCGATTGTTCCAGACTTTCGGTACTCAGTTTACCATGAATAAATGGCTTGGCATCACTTGTGCACCGAAGGGTCGCATTAAATGGAGCGAGTTGCAAGGCGTTTCCCATGTTTATGCAAATATAACGATCTCCGCGAGAAAAGGGGGATCGCACGAGGTGGACCGACACTTTCGACGCGATCGCTTTCACCGTCGGCGATCGGTGTTTTATCCTCGGCGTCAAGCGCATCTCGAAATTCACGTACGCTTCGGAATCGAATGACTTTCGAGCGAGTTTTCCATCCCGGCCGGGCGTCCCTGGTACGAAAGTCCGTCGCGTGAATGAATTAATTGATGCGGGGTTACGCTTTTTTACGTTAACGGCGCCGGCAACGCGAGCGAATTTCGTATATGTGGACCGTAACGTCGGAAACACGAAGCTACGTTGCTGGAGGAACAGAAGGAAAGAATATTCGGTGGAAATCTAGACTCCTCGCGGTGTTGGGCGGTGATATTTCATCTGCCAGTGTCACTGGATCGGATGACTCGCATTCGGTACTCAATACTCTACGCCGATCGTTGCGTACCCTTCTTATTTGTTGAACTGATTTCTTTACTCGTTCGGTTCTTGTTTCTGTCGCTCGGTCCGATTGTAAGGGATCTTAATGTATTTTAGATGTCTTATTTTAATGATCACTTGCTGGTACTCATACTTTTGAAAATGCTTATTAAGATTTTTCGTGTCAATTCTAATGAATAGAGAAGTAGTATTTTGATGTTGTCACAGAGAAGTATTTACTATATGAAGTATAAAGTGGAAGGAAGGATGTTAATGGGAAACTTTGAGGTGTGAATGATTTGTAGTACGAATTTTGAAGTCGGGACTAGCACTAATAATGTGGGGAATTATGGATTATTAGTAAAAGTGATTTACGGAGAAAGCCGAACTGTTAGTTGCGGTAAATTTTCAACACCGAGGCGAACGACGTGAGAAAAGGAATTTCAACGAGATGTAATTACAAGCTAACGAAAGTAGCTAACATTGTGGAGAATCATTTAACGGTGAATAACGAGCCGAATTAATTCTAGTCGAAGATAAGGAGCCGCTTAACCGACGATGGAATAGTTTCGTCACGCTGTCTTCTTCCGATGCAGAATTCGTGTAGCTGATTGTATTCAAAATCGTGTATTGGCTTGTGATTTCACACATTGAGAAAGTGTGACATAATACCAGTAGTAAATGGTATTGGGTCTGGGGATGTGAATTACGGAATGGCGTAATTTATGCGACATTCATTGAATTTTCGTATTCATCGTTCGAATAAATGGACAATTTCTATCGCTATCAATATCAAAAATTAATTACTGTGAAAGACTAATGTATTTATCAGAATAATCGAAAATTAGATCACGCAAGAATAGAAAATATTCACAGGCAAAAAGGGATAAAGGACTTAATTAAATATCTTCCATCGATCCAATTCATAATTCATCTCTATCGTCTGATCCAATTCAAAAACATTGGACCAACCAATCGAAAATTATCAAAATACTCAATACTTTCTGTTAGATCTAATTCAAAATTCTAAATCAAATTAGAAATTCAAAAATTCCTAAGAATCTCTATCAGATCCAATTCAAAGTTCATTCCTATCATCTGGACCAATCCAAAACCATCGGTCCATCGAGCCAAAAATCCCCATAATCTAAAAAACTCTATTACATCCAATTCAAAGTTCACTTCTATCATCTGAACCAATCCAAAACCATTGGTCCATCGAGCCAAAAATCCCCATAATCCAAAAAACTCTACTACATCCAATTCGAAGTATACCTCTATCGCCCGAATCAATCCAAAACCATCGGTCCATCGAGCCAAAATCCCCCTAATCCAAAAAACTCTATTACATCGAACTCGAAGTTGTACTCCATCCGATCGACTCGAAAAGAATCGGTCCAGCCAATCGCAGCAAGTGGACCGTAGGTCATGCGATGAAATGTGGAGCGGCGGTCTCGTTCTTGTTGGTCGCGTTTTGGAAAGCACCGCGCGGGCGTTAGACGCCGGCTGCAGAGAGGCATTAAACAGGCGCGACGCGCGGGCCCCGGGTGAACGCCGACCGAAGAAAGTGTCGATTTCCCCCGAAACAAAAATCGCGCGCCTCTGGGACGCGCGGACGGGTGTGTATCGCGGTCCGTGCTCGGCTGTCCGTTTCGCGTTTGCACGCCACGTGTACCCACACCCATCCAGTTTCCAACGTCGCGGAGATTCCACGGGGGAGAACCGACCGATCTCTTTCCAGGGCTGCCACGGGGACGAGTGGGAGGCGGCCGCGCGCGTCCGTCCGCCGGACCTCGATTATGCTCTTTTTATCTTGTATAAAAGAGAAGAGATCCGAGCCGCACTCCTGCAATTTATCTGCACCGGTTGGAGCACGCGGAACACGCTCGGAACGGGCTACAACTAGATATATCCAGGTGTCCCCTCGAGATCAAGGATTTACCATCGTGCTCGCGAGCTTAGGTCCAGCTTCAAGGATTCTCCGACTAGGCGACATGTGGTGTCCTGTAAGTGTTACGTTTTTCTTGTCTCGCTATTCCTCGGGTGATCTACTTTGAAGTTTAGGGGCTCCTTTGATTTCATTTGGAAATTCTAAGCTCGAGGAGATTAGATTTTAGATTTTTCTTTTGTTCGGAGAAAGATTCTTGACTTTGAGTTTCTTTGAATTTCGTAAGATTTATATTTGTAATTTCTAAGGGTGAGTAATTTCTAATCTGTAGTATAATTTCGAGTTTCTATTTTATTATTCGACAGAATGAAAGGGTTCTATGTCATAGTCGGAAATATTCATGAATAATGTTCCATTGTAAGAATCAAATTCGAGAATTTTCTAACGCTTTTATAAAGAAATCAGATCGCGTGCTCGAAACTCTGCGTCTATTACAGAGATTAAAATAATCGTCGACTTTCTGTTAATGATAACTAGCGGCTTCCAGTTAATTCTCATCCTACTCGGCGTTTACCGCGATGGTTACTAAAAATTAATTGGTAGCGAGTTATAATTGGCATTCATATACTAACGGTTCAGCCTAATTTCAATCACTGAAGAATTAACGACCGATAATCTCCCGCAGGCACTCTGGATACTGGTGTTGGCGCTCAGCGAGCCTATACTTGCCCACGCGTAAGTACACGCTAAACATCATCACGATAAACATCGATCGCGTTAACACGAATGTGAATGCTACAGCATTCATCTTCATTGTGATGCAAAATCATGTGAATGCTATAACATTGAAATTTATACGCCACATTATCACACGTTTAATTCTATACAGCTCTAATTTGTGGAAATTATTGTGGGATTGGAAGGTTTTGAGAACAAGCACAGGTGTATTAAGCGTTAATTAAACTAAACTAAGTATCTTAATCTATTCTATGCTCCACGCTGATCTACTCTGGCCTACTCTAGACTCTCAAACTACACAGTTCCACGCTAGTCCACTCTGTTCTTCTCTCAACTCGCGAAACTACTCTTCTGAAAAGCCTTACGATCATCTTAACCAGTTAACTGTGTTCTAATACTAATGATACTAATTCTTCCAACGATAAATTCTTTATTTTTTCACAGAAACATGTAATTCTCCTTTGATCCTCCTTTAGATCCAACTAAATTCCACAGCTAACTGATTAAATACCAATCCATCATCCGAGTTCGCAGTACTTCTTTTCTATCTTCGCAACTGCATTAAATTTCTACTTACACGCGAACGCGTTAACAAACCGTGTCTGTTACACGTGTAGAATCACTCGTGCGTGTAAAGCGTCTGACGTTCCCCTGAAATCTGTTTTCCAGAGACAAAGTGGTGGTGGTGGTGCCGCAGCAGATACGTCGCAGCCAAGCGCCATTATGGCGGTCGGGCGCGCCGAGATACAGGAAGTCCTCGCACGAGCCGCATTTCCGTAGACACCACGGACCGCCGTACTACCACAAGAAGCACGTATACTCGAGCCCCTATCCCCATGGCGGCGATGATTTCGACCAAGGCCACGAGACCGTGAACCACGTGCAGATACCGTACGGAAAGGGCATCAATCACGCGATCTCCTTCGGCAAGGGGTACATACCTTACGATCAGATTAAGGGCAGCTTCTCCTTGGGCAACGAAAAGTGAGTAGAACGTGTTAACATCTTAGGCACGGTTGAATTTCGCGCAGGGCTGTTTACTTTAATAATTAGTAATACAATTGGGTATGGTATGTGATATATTGGTAGCGAAGGAGCCACTATAGTGGCGCGTCGTGCCTAAGAGGTTAATCAAGGCACGGAAGTCAAGTTGGGAAGGATGCTACTGTCATCCGCAAAATGCAGGCAAATTAACCCTTTGCACTCGAGAGGCGCCTTCCAGTCGCCATTTGATCTGACCCAAGAACATTGTAAAATTGAAAATTCAATATTAA